GGCCGGGTCGGGGGGCGGCCGGACCCGCCGCACCCGGACCGCCGGGACTGCCGGGTCAAGGCCTGAACCCGCCGCCACTCGCGCGGGCCTGTGAAAGCTGCTACAGTAAGTCCTGCGCCTCTTGCGTCCGGATGATTCTCCCCCCCCCCCAATAAAGGCGGTTAACAAATTGTCGCCGCATGTCTTTGCAGCCAACAGTTCCTACCAGTGGTACTCGTGGGGGCCTCCCAACATGCAGTGTCGCCTCTGCGCCTCCTGCTGGACTTACTGGAAGAAGTACGGCGGGCTGAAGATGCCCACCAGGCTGGACGGCGAGCGACCCGGCCCCAACCGCAGCAGCATGGTACGAGCCCGTAATGCAGTCAATGCCGCGGCGCAGCAGGCCTGACTTCCTCCGCGTCGCACTTAGAGCCCTCACGGCATGCCTGTGCGGCACAGCGGCAGCCCCAAGTTCGCCGTCAAGACGCGACAGGCCTTCTACCTGCAGACCAGCGCCCTGACGCGGGTGGCGCGCCGCCTCTGCCAGGACATCATCAAGCCCCGCTACTTGGGCCGCCACCCCTACCTCCCAGTCAACACGGCTGCCATCAAGGCTGAATGTAAGACACATGCTCGACTCGATATCGGTGAAAATCTGCTCTCTTGGGGGACGTCAACGGTTGATACGTTCATGCTCTTGAGTTTTTATAAGGAGCGATGCTAGCCAGTGCTGTTTTTCCGTCATTGAATATATTTTATTTGGTTTGGGTTTTTTTTTTCGCCCGAAGCCCGCTCAAGGTTTGTAATTGCCTCTCAGTGCCACAAGACGGCGGGAAAGCACGTTTTTTTTTTCCTATTAGACAGGGTAACGGACTGCTTAAAGGAAGCTCCTCTATTCAGTTCAAGATTGGCACAAAGATGCCACCGCATGGCGCGTAAGCAGTATTTTTTTTAGGGATGTTCAATGCCATTTTTCTTTCCACACTGATACCAGCCCAAATAATCAACACGTGAGTACTCACCGATACCAAGTTACCGATACCAATCATACGTGTGTTACATAACATATCTGTTCTACACCAATGACAGAGAATTTTAAAAGAGCTTTCGTTTAGTTCTGACAAAAGGCAGAAAAGTCACTCTGCAATTGGGAATTGAAGTCCAAAATAAAACACAAACGACCGTCTCTTAATTTAGCATTCATTTGCAACAAACGAACCAAAGTGCAAAGTAAAACTGACATTGCCTCAGTTCAAGCAAGTGTATGCTCCGCACAAGTAGAAGCTCTACGCTGCCGCTACTGCGTTCAGCAGGGGAAAAAAAAATATAGACCACTGAATCATATCAAAAAGTAAATTTGCAAATCGGTTCACATTGGTAAACACTGTCAACACGTTTCAGCCCAAATGAAAATGGAAGCAGGGGGGGGGGCTGGTAGGGTGGCGCGGGACATCGGCAGATGGCCGTGTGAGTGTCTGTGCGTAAGCAGGGGCTGACAGCAGCTCTTCTTCATCGTTTATGTTACACTTTTCTCCTTGCATTCAGTAAATGACTGAAAAGTGCAATGGTGACTGGCTCGCCTTTCCCACATGCGAGGACATTACAGTAAATACACCCTAAAAAAAACCCAGTATAAATACACCGAAAAATCTGCAGTGTAAGTGGGCGGCAAGTATAGCAGGGGAGGGGAACTCTGTGGAGCACCAAAGTGTTTTATGTGTAATCTGTCACATGTCCACAGGTGCACTGCGGTTGCCGGAGAAAGACCCGGGCAAGCCTTCGCCGCTCAAACCAACAGAACGCAAACCTCTCGAGTCCGTGGTTCGATACCTAGGTAGGCGATTTTTTTTTTTCCCACCAGCCAGCTTATTTCCCAACCACCCCGAAGTTGGGTTAGACTTTCAACAGAGGGACTCATATTCACTTTTCAAGTGAGGCGCAGAGAAAGCAAAGCACCGTCCAGTCGTCTCTGCTGACATGAAAATGAACGCTTGGAATTGTTTTGCTGCTGACAGAAGCACATCCCCGTCCAGCCAAAGTGGAGGCACCCGCCCGGGGGCCGTCCATCTCCACGGGCAGCCTGACGCCCATCAAGTCCTCCCCCATCCTGAACAACGGCTCCCCCACCATCCTGGGAAAGCGCAGCTATGAACAGCACAACGGATTGGATGGTGAGTCCCACCAAAATGACAGGCGCATGTGCGTGTGTGTGCACGCACGTGTGCTAATTGGACTCTCGAGGCACTTTTGATTGCCTCCACCAGGGACTTTGTGTGTGTGTTTTTTTTTTTTAATTTTAATCACTCTTCGTTTAAACAGTGCTGGGAATTCCCAAGATGTCTGGTTGGAGCAGTGAAGTGTTAAAAGTTTGAAAATAGAGTGTTGGTTAGTGGTGCTTGTGTCCTATTTTTGACCGTCCCCCCCCTCCCCGGTGGATTTGAAGGAGGGGGGAGAGAGAAGAGACAGACTGACAGATCAAGAGAGGAGAGGACGGCTTTGGCCTCGCTTGCTTTAGCTGGAGGCGACCGTCCATGTCGTCATGGTAACGGCGCAGGGGAAGTGGAGGAGGCTGCTCGTCGAGCCTCCTCGAGGTTTGAGCTCGCAGTATATTTGCTCTCGATACCAGCGATTCTCAAACCGCCGTCTTCGCTCGGATCGGGCAGTTCATGGAAATGTCATTGTGATTTTGATTTGGGCTTCTCGCCATCATAAAACAAAAAATGATTCATGTGTTGGAATAATTTGTTGTCACTTTACAATTTTAAATTTTTTTTAATTGGATTTGTACAACTTTTTATTTTAGTTTCTTTGTATTTTATTTTATACTCCCTCAAAAATAGGCACATTTTAAAATCCAGCGGCATTTAGATCTACACATGAGTGAGGATTATTACCCCCATGCCCCAAAAACTTAGGTTCAAATATGACAATAGATGTGTATTTCCCGCTGCATCACAGGCACTAAATCCAAAGCCTTGGCCCCCCAGTGGGACATCATGGCCAAACGCCTGAGCGAAGTGGGCCGGCCCTCGGCTGTCATGCAGGACGAGGTGCACCAACTGGACTGACGTCCCGACCTCTACGCCATTCGCACCTGCCAAGTAAGTCCCACTCATTGAAAAAAAAAAGACACTCCAAAAATGAAGTGACCTGCTGCAAATTGCAAAATGTTTCCAATAGCAGACGACCCCCTCCCTGCCATTCATCCATTTTCTAATCCGTGGACAAATGTTGACAATATCTTTTTCAAGCGGAAGCACTTCTTTCAAAAGCTGCTGTTCAAAAAAATCTGGACAAATGAAGAAAATTCTCAAAAGGATTAAAAAAAAAACGAGACTTACTGTGAGTCATGTCATTGTCATTTGCTTTTTAAGTGACGGTGGGGGGGAATGTTTTATTAAAGTTCAGATCAGTAAAGATCAAAGATCAGATTGTTGTGAAAAGTTTGTTGTTGTGTACTTTCCCTGCAGGGGGCGCCAGATTTCACCACTATAATTGGGAATTTCTCCATTGTGAGACTAATAAAGGTTTTCTTATCTTACTTTAAAAGGTTTGGTTGCCGAGTTCAGCTGGAAGGAGTCGACTGCTTGTTTATTTTTTATTTTATTTTATTTTTTCTTCAGTCGTCTGACGGTCCACCTCTTTGTACAGGACTGTTAATTACTTTCGTCTCTTGTTGTTATTATTACAATGTCAAAATGTGTTTTTTTTTTTGTTTTCTTTTTTTTACTGAATGCTATTCAGTTTCTTGTTCTTCTTTAGTGGACAAATGTTTCATGAGGAATGCTTGTGAAGTTTTAAAAAAAAAACTGCAGAAGGACTGTAACATAAGCCACTTGCAACTTGTATGTTGTTATTTTTTTAACGAGTTATTATTCCAAACCCCCCCATGAGGAGATGCACTTTTTATTTCATGACATGCGTTAACTCTGTCTTTTTTTTGTTTGTTTGTTACGTTTGTCATTTGGAATTTGAAAAAAAAAGAAAAGATTAAAAAAAGAAAACGCTTTACGGGAATCTTGTGTTTCGCTTGCCGGGCCTGAGGGCTCTTTGGGCCAAGAGAGGTTTAACTTATTGAGAAGGACTCGCTGTTTTTTCTACCTTTTTCACAAGTATTGCATCTATGCTTCGATAATGTCATTAAAAAAACAAAAACATTGATTTGCCCTTCAAGCATTCTGTGCTTTTTTTTTTCCTTTTCATTTTTTCTGACCCCATGAGGTTGAATTAGAAATTTACATGGCATCGAACTTCTCATTGCAAATATAGCTGAAGTTACATGGTTACCTGCTCTACTGATTGTGAAGGCCCTGGAAGATTAGGTTGTCATGGTAACATAAAGAGGTTGGAATCTGATTCAATTCAAAAGAAAAATAAAAATCTCTTAACATCCGCATACACGTGCCGCAAGCGGCGCAGCCAAGAGACATGCTGTGAACTGAAGGGACATTTCATGGGCCAAATGGCATTTTAGAGCGTGTGTGTGTGTGTGTGTGTGTGTGTGTGTGTGTGTGTGTGTGTGTGTGTGTGTGTGTGTGTGTGTGTGGAAAAGAGTTTGTTTTTTTTGTGTGTCTAATGATGTTTTTGTGAGACTGGGTGTTTTATCAATGTGTTTTTGTACCTATGTAAGTGTAGGTGTTTGTGCATACGTGATGCTGCTTATGGTGACGATGAAAATGATAATGCGTTAAAGGCCCCCCACATATTAAAAAAAATAAAAAATAAATAAAACTTTCATCGGGTGGCAGGACCCACAAGCTGCAGACGTGCAGCCGCCCGTCGAGCGCCTTCACCGGGCTTGTGGCTTGGCGGAGAGTCGCTGCTCGTGCGGTGCCGCAGAGGTGTCCGCGGGTCGGTTGACTTCATTCCTCATTGCGTCATGTCATTTCGTCACACGTTTCCAACGTCAGTATTATGCGACGCCGTTGCAATGGCGTCATGGCCTTTTAGCGGTTTGTATCAACAGCATTTCTAAGCGTCGTGGTTGTGTTTTGCGTGCGTGATGTTCAAGGGCTCGTCAGTGCGCCGCAGAGGAGTCTCGCCATGCGCGCACGCGCGCGTGGGTCTACACGGCGCATCATCGTTTGACGCGTTTGCGTACAAAGCAACGCAGACTCCGCCCGTGGTGCGTTCAGGTGCCAAATATTTATCTATTCATTCAACACTTTCGATGATGCAGTCCGGTGGAGTTTTTGGTGGGTGAGAAAAACAAAAACAAACCAAAAAAAAAAAATTCTCAAACAAATACAACTATATCTATGCATTGGGATGAATTGTTTTAAAAAGAAAACGTAAGAGACGTAAACATTTTTATGCAGTTTTATTATTTGCATGTAACAAAAAAATGTCATTTTGGTTAGTGGTCATTACAGTGTGGAAGTAACTTTGGCCAACAAGGAATGTTGACCATGTTCAAAAGTTAACACGAACGCTAACTTGTTTTAGCCTTTCATCACTAAAGTTGTCAAAAGAAAGCTCCATTTATCATTTTCATACCAGTAAGTGGTCATTTGTCAGTAAGTATGCAGAACACACGGGTAAAGTCTCGTGAACTCGCCAAGTACGGTTTTCCTAAGTACGCACGCGAGAATCTTCTTCCCAAGAAGGCAAGTCTATTCTTAAATTGGAAAACTGTGCTTGTTAAGTTTGCCATCGACTGCTCCTGAGGTTATCCAATCGTCTGTTTGCACCTATGTCTATGACTTGGCGACACTTGCTAAAAGCAAAGACCTTTTGGGAGCTCACAATTTTTTACCCAATATTTTCAAAAAGCCAAAGAAAAACAAAACTCCATTTGGCATTTAGCAAACACCAGTTATCATTAAGTTACCGTTTCAGATACCAAGCATATTTTGAGGTATGCCTGAAAAGTTAGTAAAAGTTAATCCCTTATTACCTGTCCTATGAAATTAGCAACGGTAACACACAATCTCACACACCACCCATGCAGATGTGCACACGCTCACAGAGAGAGTCACACTGTCACGTGCATGCACACCCACAAACACTCAGCCACACATAAACTGAAAAATGCACACACCTGACCCGTACACGCATGAACATCGACGTAAGTACACAAAAATCTCCAAACTTAATCACACACACACACACACACACACACACCCTCAAAGCTTAATGGCACTTTACGACACCTGTTCCCCGCCCCCTTCCAGACCTGGGCCCCGAGTCGACGAGCCGCGTGGCCATGGCAACCATGTCCATCCTGCAGCCGCCGTCGCCACTGCCGGCCCTGTGCCGCTGGTACCTGTACGCCATCCACGGCTACGTGTGCGAGGTGCTGTTCACGGGGTGCTGGGACTTCGCCCTGCACCGTAACTGGAAGCTCCCGGGCGTCACCAGCTTGTGGGCGATGTTCCTCTACGGCACCTGCATCCTGGCCATCGAGCGCATGTACCTGCGGCTGCGCGACCGCATCAACGTGGTGCTGCGCTGCATCGTCTACACGCTGTGGACGTACGCATGGGAGCTGAGCATGGGCCTGCTCCTGCGTCGCTTCAAAGCCTGCCCCTGGGACTACTCCAAGTTCCGCTATAACTTCATGGGCCTAGTGACGGCTGAGTACGCCTTGCCCTGGTTCTTCGCCGCCTATCTGGTGGAGCGCCTTGTCGTCCAGAATACCCTGCGCCTGCGCTACCACGACGGCTCCGACGACGGCTGGTCCGACCCCGTGGCCGGGGCCATCAGGGCCGCTCGCCGGGGTGAGAAGAGGCTGCGGGCTGGCGGGGTCAGTGGCTTGTTCAAGTGGGACTAAGCGCCTTGCCGACTTGGCTGGTTCGCTGCTAAAAATTGTCCCAAATGGAAAAAAAAAAGTGAAAAACCATCAAAAGTGAAAAAAAAATAAATAAAAGCAAGTAAAATCAATGACTCGTGTCACAAGTAATTGAAAACAAATGAAAAGTATCTTTAAAGAAAAAAAGTTATGTAAGAAATGCAATCACAAGTTTCAAAGTACCCGGAGAAGACCCACGCAGGCACGGGGGGAACATGCAAAGTAAATTAAGGTTCTTTGGTTTTGTAAAAATAATGAATGGCAAAAAATTGGCGTACAAAAACATTAGAAAGTACATCGCGAATTGGTATATTATTTGAAAGTACTCAGCAAAATGTAGATTTGAACAAAAACATTTTTAAAAAGTCAAAAGGTTAAAAATAAAATATTTAAATTTAAAATATTTTAAAAAGCATGTCATACACGCATATATCCACGTGATGGCGACCTCTCCTTGTTTATCCCGCTTCACTCAGCGACAGGTGACGCGTAGTCTCCCCGGACACTTCATTGGGTACACCATGAATCCATCCATCCGTTTTCCGATCTGCTTCTCCTCACAAGGGTGCTGGAAACTAAACCAAACCAAACCAAACCTAACCACTGGACCACCAGGCCGCCCTCACTGGGGACACCCGCAACGTAAACGACATCCGTTCCAAGAGTTGTGGGCTCCCTTTTACGCTTCCAATGTGAATGGATCAAATGCTAACGTGCGCACAGTTGCTATGCTAACACAGCATTTCTCAACTCTCTTTACATTGTAAGTATACCTAAAAAAAAGTGTCTGTACGTGTAACGTAGTTCATGAACGGGTCCTGGGCGGCACACCCCTTTCATCGGCGCTGGCCCCTGGGCCCCCCCTCCAACCCTGCCACTCCAAATATGGGCGTTTGCAACCTAAACTCAAGTTTCAACAGAGGATTCTCTCCGCCCCATCCCCCTTCGTTCGTTGTTGTGTCAGGTTTCCACTTGCCGCTAGCGCTTGGATTAGGTAGAGAGTCGACTGCAAAATGTAGACTGACTAGAGAGACTGTCCAATGTCCTGCCTGCGGCCCTGCTACGTGTCGCATTGCACCAAAAAGCTCACGGCCAACTATCTACGAATGTGTATTATATCTACGCAACGTATATATTTCTATTTATGTGTATATTTCCGGGGTGCGACGGGAACCCATTTTGAATTGGATTTGGTTGGACAGACGGATTGATTTTCAACGTCATTTTTTTACTTAACATTCTTTTTGTATTTCATTGCTATTATTAGACTTGTCTGTCACATTTCAGTTCATTCTTTTCTAAAATCAAATGCAGCGGTAGGTAGAACGTTAGCATGCTAACAGACTGCGAGCTACCGCTCCGACTACCTTGTCAGTTAGTCAAGCGCCTCGGCCGCCGCGCGGCGCGCTCAAGTGCAACGGTTTTCGGCAAGTTTTGCATATTCAAAATGTTGTTTGCCCTGTAAATAATCCCTCTGATGATCCATCCGGCCTCTCAGCATATCACGTCGCGTATCATGTCATACATCAGCAAAAGGCAAATGGCGGTAGCAGTGGGAGCTCTCGAAGTTGGCGGGCCAAACGGTCCCGCGCCTCTCTGTTATGTTGCAAGAATAGAAACGGATTATTTTTAGAATGAAGTCGTACTATCAAGAGGCAAATAAAGTGTCTATTGTGCGGGAAAAAGTTGCAATGTACTGTCAGAAAAAGTGGTGACCTTACAAAGGAGGAAAAAAAGTCAAGCACGTTTTTGTACGACTAGCTTGCAAAATTATACAAAAAGTTGTCATGCTAAAAGTGTTCAACTTTGTCCAAATAGGAATCAAGTCATAATCTGACACGAACGTTGGCATTCGAAAAACGTCATAATGTGACAAATCTTGTCATAGCAACACAAAATAGTTGTTGTTAGTTGTTTGGAAGAAGGTGAGAATAAAATCGGAACAGGAGCTGAGAAAACACAAAATGTTGTCAATTTAAGAAAAAAAAAATCTTAATATTAAAGAAAAAAAAAGTCATAATAACTCGAGAAAGTTGTCTTTTTCCCCAGAGTAAATTCGGAATTCCATCGCGTGAACGTCAAATTTGCAAAGGAACTTCCTATTTTCTTAGATATTTCTTTCGACACGTCGTATCCCAACTTTTGCCACCTTACTCTTGTCATTTTTTGCGACCACGACGCCGTCCGTCAGTGCGCCTCCCCCCCTTCCCCGACCCCCCGCGGCGCATGCGGTGTTGTCATGGGATGCAAATAGGCGCTTTTCGATCGGCAACTGTCGACGTCAACTGCTTGTTGACACTGAGGGCAGCTGTCACCTTTGGTGCGCTCGGCAAACAAGATAAGAGTCCGACTGTGTCGTGACGCTCAACTGCTCTTGCCTTACCCAACGTCGTCTTCAACAGTTGATCGAATTCAAATCGACTACTACTGGCAAATGGGAGTTTGTTTTTTCCAGCATAAAACAATGGCTAAATTCCTGCGGGTTTTTTTTTTTTTTTTCCGAACCCATTTAAAGTTCAACAGGTGTGCTTAGGTTATTTTAAGATGGTTCAACTCCACATTTACAGTCACATAAAAAGTGGCACCATCCTTTTTCTCTTCTTTAGTAAACAAAAGCGTCAGCCGCGTATTGGATGGCCATCCATCACGGTGACACGTCATCGCCGATTGGCTGAGAGTCGGTGGCCAGACGGCCGTGAGAGTTCACTGCCGTCGTGATGCGACAATGGCGAAATCTACCCCGGACCTTTCTGGCTTTGGCTTTTGTGTCGCCGCCGGATGATTGACTGATTGATTGGTGTCGGCAAACAATCACAAACACGCCTTGAACCTTTTAACCTTCCTCAGTGTTCACTGTTGCATCTTGTCAATGAGTGACAGAGGAAAACTGGAAATGCAGGCTCCAGCTTCCTCGTTGTGAGTTGTCGCTGACCTCATTCTTGGAATAGAAAAACAACTTGGTCCAGGTCACACGCTGCCAGATCCAGACAATGGCAGACTACGGGCTTTCTGTACCTGTGGTGGTCATTGTCCAAGTTGTAGAGACCGACGGTAGAGTGTGTTCAAACTGGACAGGCCGATGCCCCTGTCGAGCTCTATGTCCTGACTGTAGAGGCCTATGTCTTGAATGTAGACATGTTTATCCTTGGAGGGGGGGGGGAGATATCCTTTGTCCTGAAAGTAGATGTCTATGGCCTAGCTGTCAAGGTCAATGTCCTGGTTGTGGCGGTCTACGACTTGACTGCAGAGGCGTATGACCTAAAAAAAGATGTTCATGTCCGAGCTGTTGAGGTCTAGATTTTGACCGTACAGTCCTGGCAGTAGAGGCCCATGTCCTGACAGTAGAAATCTATGTCCTGGTTGGAGTGGTCTGTGACTTGACGGTAGAGGTCAAGCCGCAAGAGGCATCTGACCTAAAAATAGAGGTTTCTGTTCTGGCTGTTGAAGTCTACATTTTGACTGTACAGTTCTGCCTTGAGAGGCCAACGTCCTGGCTGTAGAAGTCCATGTTCTGGTTGGAGTGGTCTGTGACTTGAGGTCTTGTGGTCTGTAGAGATCTGGCTGCCGAGGCCTATGCGCTAAAAGTTGAGGTCTCAGTCCTGATCTGTTAGCATCAGTTATCCTGACTGGAGAAGTTTATGCCTTGACTGTCGACGGTTGACACATGACTGTTACGCTAATTGTAGGTGCTCATGTCCTGAAAGAAGAGGTCTATGTCCTAGCTACCGAGGTCAACGTCTTGAGTGGAGAGGTCTGTCTCTGTCGTAAAGGTCTATGTGCCTAGTATTGAAGGAAGGGGTCAAACTGGTGTTGTGTAATTCACAAGGTCAGAGGGGTCAGGGTCCATACACTCTCAAATGCCGCTAAAAGCCCCCCCCCCCCTCTACGGCAGTGTTTATGGCGTGACCTCCTTGGTGATCCGAGATGCCAGGAATGCGAGTGTCCTGGCATCGCTTCTCGAGGACCACGGCAGGCGTCTCGTTTACAGTGCGGCTGTGATCTTGGCGGTCCGGGGGACAAGAGGGCTGCCCCGACATGTGCCGGGATCGGGGTGACAGACTGAGCCAGACTGGAACGTGAGTCGTCCGCCTTTTGATGTGCCCTTGCTGACAGGTGGTGGGTTCTGCCCTCTGCAGCTTGTCCTTTCGCTTGGGTCAGCGGACCACCCAAGTCTGATCAAATGCCTGAGCAGGTTTAAGTTCGCGCAAGAATGTCGGCCATCTGATCATCCCACGCGACCCCCGCCTGGCACTCCATCTGGACCCCTCATAACTTGGGAGAGTGGCGACTCGCTACGCGCGTGAATATGTGTGTGGCACGCTCACGTGGGACGAATGAGAGCTTCTGTAAGAAATGGATCTGCTCTTAAAATGGCACCTGGTATTTGGTAACGTATCGTACTACTTCATGGTCAAATTGAGTTGCGTAGTTGCAATGTTTTGCTTGGATATTTAGGACCGCAAGCAACGGGAACTGTTGCAACTGTGTGGCCCGGATGTTTTGGGCTCCAAACAGGATGTGCAAATTAGTGAGGACTATTTGTGAGGTTGTCACCATAAAACGTGTTTACTGGTGAGGATCATGATGATTATTTACGCATGAGGTTGTGTACTCGTGAAATTGAGTACTTGTGAGCGTCCACACTTGGGAGGGTGAATCCTTGTGAGGTTGTTTGTGTATGGAAGGCAATGTGTCCTTGTCAGGTTGTGTCCTTGCAAGTTGGAGCTCAACTTCTGAAGTTCTTGACTAGCTTGGTTGGTTATTTTCGAGGTTGCGTACTTCTGAGTGGAAGGTAGTGATTTTTAAGAATGTGTACTTGTGAGGACGCGTCACTGTGAGGCCGTGTCTTGGAAGGACGCTTACTCATTAAGTTTACTTACAAGGTTGTATACTTACAAGGTGGCATCCTCATTTGGTTGTGTCCTCGGGAGAGTGCGTACTTGGGAGTATGCATCCTTCTTGAGCTTGTATCCTTATGAAGGTACACACTTGTGAGGATGACGGTGGTTTACTTGTGTGAAGGTCAACTTGTAGGCACGCGATAGTTG